ATAACGAATAACCCTGATTTGAAAAGATATTCTAAGTTGTTGACTCGCTTTAGGCGAAAGGAAGGTGTTAGGCACCCTTCTTCTACCTTATTCAAAAGGATACTAGGGTTTAGGTTTAAAGGTTTAGGAATAGGGTTTTAGTTTTAATTAGGGGAATTCACCACAGTTTTTTAGTCGTATGCCTATGTATTCTCTTATGAGGAATCAGAGTCTCAATTCGTAGTTCGTAGTTGTTTTGTTAGTTTTTTTTATGGATTATAGAAATATCTCGAATTCTCTTTTAACCAAGTTAGGGTGTGTGAATAGCAGAATTGTAGACATATTTCGCAGTCGATAAAAGAAAATCCCGTAACCCTTTTTGAAAATAATGTAAATTGAATTAAGTTAGTAGAAACCGTCAGTAATTTGTTGGTAAGATGTTTTTGAGTATATGATGCAATATGAGAAAAATTGATTTTAATGCATGAGAAAAAATATTATTTAATGCAATTAAAGAAAGATTAGTATTTAAAAAATATTTGAATTAATAAATAATTATTATAATTTATTAAAAATATATTAAATATTAAAAATAATATTACAATTATTTACTAGTTATGCAAAATTATATTTAATGCAAAGAGTGATTAAATAAATAAATAAGTAAGCAAATAAATAAATAAATAAATAAAATTAATAAAATAAAATAAAATAATTAATTAAAACAAATGGGGTGTAAATTGTAGTTTCGTAGTAAAACATAGGGGTGTAAGTAGTAAGGGTTGAAGCCGATTAATCCAATTTAAATCCAATAAGGATGGGGGGTGCGAATTATTGTTGAGTAGCAAAATATGGGAGGTTGGAAAGTAAGGGCCCAAATTCAGATATTGAATTGGGCCCAAAACCCGCTGGGGGGTGTGCTTTGCATTTCAGAATAGTAAAGGGAAAAATTGGGGGTGCGAGTATGACGGGCCTAGGCCCAACACAAAACTTGTTTAGATATGTTCGGATTGTGTGAGCATGTGCGTACGGTTTTATGGTGAGAGTGCAACTTGCGAGTGTTTGATTGAGATCCAAGGAATGTTATTAAGGGTGCACAATAAGGAGAATGTACCTGAATACAAAGAGTGTTTATAAAAAAAGATTTACAGGCTTGAGGCCTATTTTCTTCTCTTCTTTCTCTCTCTAACAGAACGAAACAAACCATTATCTTTATTCTAGAGAGAGATGCTCTCGCATCTCTCTAGAAAGGAGATCATTGGAAATTTGCCCGCCCTGAGCACCGCCGTCCAGAAATCGCTTCCGCCAGTGGCCGCTCCAGGGCACCACCACCTTCATCCATAAAACACCGAGAGGAATCCGGAACCTTAAAGATCTCCATCCAACCCTTAGAACCCTAACCCCATATTCATCTAAACCCCCGAACCCTGAGAACCCTAGGGTTCTTGGTGAATCGTAACCTAACCCCAAGAACCATAAGAACCCTAGGAACCTTAGGAAACAAGAAACCCCCAAATTAAACCCCAATCACGCAATTAAACATCAATCATCAGACGATAAAAACCCTAAAAGCTAAATTGTTTCAGGCTTACTTGAATTCGTACTCAATTTTTTTGTTTTGCTTCTGGTTTCTCCTCCTAATTTCTCCTTTTCTTTCTTTGATTTATATGTACAAGATCGAAGATGGCGATGGTGATGATAGTGGCGTGACTTAGATCTAGAATTTCAGAAATTGAAACCCAGATTCCTCTCCTTCTTCTCCTCAATCTCTTCTTCTGTTCGCCAATTTCTTCTCCTCCCTTTTAGAATTTTTTAGGGTTCTATTTATAGGCTTAGGTTAGAGATAGATTAGGAAGTTTTGTTTATGATTTTCGTTGCAAATTAGAAATTAGGAAAGATTGAATATTGATTTTGTAATTGATATAATTTGTTGTATCTGGACGATTTTGTGTGATTATAGGTTGTAAAATGTATAAATTTGATACGATTTGATTCTGTTAGTATTAATTTTGTATATTATTGTTTGGTTTTTGGACTCAATTATTCTGGGCTTGCGTTGTGAAGAAGAGAGTGAACAAGGGGCACCACTTGCATTAGGGTTTCTAACCCTAATTTTGACTTGGTCAAACACACAAAAGAAAAACAAATATATTTTCTTTGATAATATTAATCATGAAAATGATAATAAAAATCATTAATAATAATAATAGTATTTAAATGATAATTGAATAAATTATAAAAATTATTATTATTATTGAGAACAAACGTAACAAAATTGTATATCGCTAGTGGGCTATCGTTCCAAAAAAAATGAAATCGGCTTTCAAAAAAAGGGATGACCCAATATGGGCCTTTGATCTTAACAAATTCGCTGAACCAACCAAAAACACACCCCTTCCATGTTGTTATAAATGGGCCTAAAAAATCCGTAATGGACCGGTCTGCTAAAAAATGAACCTCCATTATGACAAACTACATCCCTCTTAATAATAAAAGGCCAACATACATACCTATTGGACCATCTGATTTTCTAAACACACGCCCATCATTATGCATTAAAAACCCCTATTAGAATAAGACCCAAAAGTACACCAATTGAAACAAAAGAATTTTATAATTTTTAGGAGTATAGTAGTAATATAAATAAAGTGAACATTAAAATTGACGGGAAAATTTGGGGTATGACACCTAGTATAATGTGTCAATTTTATTTTGTTTAGTCAGTAACAATATATCATTGTTGTGTGAAACTAATAAATCTCTAACAAAAGTTTAGTGATGAAAGATCTTGGGCATATCTCTTTGTATTATGTATTTAGATACTTAGAGATTATCCTCAAAGTATCATCCGGTTATCACAAAAAAAAAATATATATATATATATATATATATATATATATATATATATATATATATATATATATATATATATATATATATATATATATATATATATATATATATATATATATATATATATATATATATATATAAAGTTGAAAATAAAAGTAAAACTTACACGAAAGACTATAAAGTAGGGTATGTCTCAATTATCAATGGAGACTATTAAGTCTCAATCATTGTCCAAAATAAATGAATCTGGAAATTTGGAATTTTTTTTTATATTTTGGTTTTGGGAATATTATATATAATTTTATACGTATATGGAAAGACGTATATAAAATCATTAAGTAGATACTTGAACATTTCAAAATTGAATTGTTGGAAAAAATGGCCAACCATGTGTATTATTGTAGAGAATAAAAAAGTTTGTACTCACAAATAAGAGAACTGACAATGAGGACATCATTAGTATGTTCGACTCTGATATTTTAATTTTCGAATAGAAATTCTAATACAGAATAAATAACGGTAAGTATTTATGTCATTCAGTTACAATTGAATATAAGGTTTTGAAAGATCATTCAAGTTATATTTTGTTGTATGACAGTCATATAGTGTTTCAATAATAGGTTTTAAAATTCCATTAACTTATAAGTTATTATTGTTGAAACTAGAATATATATATATATATATATATATATATATATATATATATATATATATATATATATATATATATATATATATATATATATATATATATATATATATATATATATATATATATATATGGGATTTAAACTAAAGACTCACTAATCAAAGACTTGACATATAAGGTCTTTCATATGATTGTTGTTACTAAGGATGTCTTAGATTAGTGGGAGTTCCTCCTTATTTATGTTTTATAATATTATTTTGATATTGATACAGACTTTATGTTAAGATTATCTTGCAAAAATAATTTCTATAAGGTTATTGTTGTCATAACCATTTATGCATTGTTTGTGTAAATATTGAATTTACAAACTTTAATTTGATCTCAATAAAGACTTCAGGGTGACCAGTTGGAAATAAACATGATTTAGAGATCACATTACATGAAATTTCTATGTCACTCATCCATATCGATCTATGTTATCAAGTATATTTGCATGGTGGTCGTCGGGGTTCCGTCATGTTATACCTCAGTGACGATAATCGTGGCGTTCTCATTATTAATGTAGGAGATAAACCAGATTGTAAAGTTGAAATCTAAGAATAAATAACATTCAGATCCGTGCCTAAAGACTATGATATAATTATTAAGATATATTACCCAAGTGAGAGATTTTTTATTTATTTTATATTTAAATATTATTTAATTATTATATTCCAATAATTATTATGTGGGAAAATATATTTATATGAATTATATTAGCTATTTATCAAATTAAGAGTCTTAATTGACGAAGTGGTCAAATAAAGTTTAATTAGATTTTTATTTAGTAATTAATTAATTAATTAAGTAAGTAATTGGATCTGGGCTTAAATATGAGTGGATCTGGGCCTAATTGGCCATCATCCTATATATAGGCTATGGTCCCCAATATACCGTAGCCTAATTGGCATTGGGAGTACCGGTTGAGGATGATTAAGGCATTGGGAGTACCGGTTGAGGAGTACCAATGCCTTGAACATTCTTCAAATTACCTCTTCTCCCCATTTGAAGAATGTTCAACGCATTGGGAGTACCGGTTGAGGAAGATCCACAAGCTAACAAGTGCCAGTCACTTGTCTCTACACTTTTGAATTTCAAGATTATAGTTATCATTACCAAAAGACTTTTATCTTATAGATCTTAGTATTCTTGAAATCTCATTTCTCATGTACTAACATGTCGTAGATCCTGTAATTATATACATGTTCATATTTATTTATTATATTTTGCACTAAAGTATAAGGTATAATATGTAGAACATATATATGTTATTAATTTTTATAGAACTAATTCCAACAAATAGTCCATCTACTTTTGTTGAAAGAGGTTCTTCCAAACGGGTTCACTTGTTGGAGATACTGAATAGGAGGCTCTTACTCCTTTCTTTAGGCTTACTGTTATTATTTCATCTCGAGTACCTAACACCCCAGAGGAGTTTGTTATTGTAGCTTTTAAATACCTAGATTTTGTCTGGGGTTTGTCAGTCACTGTCACATGAATCCTTTTTTACAGATGCTTCTCGTACTTTGTTTTGGATTGAATCCCTTGTTTCCATGGTAGTTGCTGGCCATGACGATGTTCTGGAGTTTGGCGACATTTCAAGGGAACGAGATAAGCTGAGGAAGAGGTGTGAAACCATTGAGCGAAAAAATTCCAATGCTAAGAAGGAATTAGTTGAATTGTGGGTGAATGCATAGGCTGTTAACTTTAAAAGGAAGATGTAGATCGGTACGATAGCCCGTATACTTTGACTGCTCAAATAAAAAGGTTGAACGCTTCTCTTGTTGATTGAGAGAAACATTGTAAGAAGGTTTTTGAGGATGCGGGTGAAGCGTGTCAGGCGTTCTAAGTTGATCAGAAAGTTTTTCAACGAGATAAGGATGTTCAGATCAATGCTTTGAAAGGTCTCGATAAGGAGGAGGTTGCTCTAACACCCCAAATTTCTTAATTAATTCTAATTGAATTATGTTAATATTATATTTAATATTTTAATAGTATTTTATTAATTGAATATTGATATTAGTAATAATATTGTTATTGTTGTTGTTATTATTATTATTATTATTATTATTGGTAATAATAATAATAATAATAATAATAATAATATTATTATTATTAGAAAAAAATAAATAGAGATAATGGAAATTAGTGGAGAGAGAGAGAGAGGAATTAATAAAGTTAAAATGGGAGGAAAGAGAGAATAAAAAATACAGAAAGAAAACAATGAAAGAAATTGGAAAAAAAAGAAAAGAGGAAAAGGGTGAAGATGAGAAAAGCTACCATCGTAAGATTATCCGAGGAAAAAGTATGAAAACATATAAATCAAAGGTAATGGATGGAGATTGTTTTACAAATGGGGTATAATGTCTTATAAGGTAGTGGGGTTGACCTTGAACCCCAATATTAATATGTCCCTATGAGATTATCCCACAGTATAGGGTTGCCTTAAACCCTAGGGAAAAGAAAGCAAATAATTAAATGATTATGAATATGTTTTTTTTTATATGATGGTGTTTTCGTTAATGTGTTGATTTACTTGTTAAATCTTGAATTTGGAATTTCTTTGAATTTGAAATTGGTTTCTTCGTTTCGTGCTATAAACTGATGAACGGTGTTACTTGATTTGATAACTAGAGTATGTTTAATTAGTGTTGATGAGTTTTAGAGTAAGAATTGTGTACCCTAATAGTTGTTACAAGTTAAAATAGGTAAAAGTAAAGGAAAATGTTAGAAATTATCAAAACTCCCAAGAAAACTCAGAAAACTCGCAGAAAAATGCAAAAATGGGAATGGGGCCTGGGAGCTATTACTGGTTGTAATTGCTATTAAGGGTGGCCGTAATAGGCCTCTACTTTTTGTACCGGGCGCATTTTTGAATTTCATTCCAGTGTTGGTCGGCTTATTTCACACATAACTTGAGTTTGATAATTTCGTTTGAAGTGAGGTTAGTTGCGTTGGAAAGCTAATGTGATAACCTTTCTTGTGATAAGGGTTAATTACACTATTGCATCATTATGACTATGGTAAATTGAAAATGATTGAGATGAGTCAATATGAAGCCCTTATGTGGAAATGACAAAAATGTGCTACGGGGAAATTATTATGAAGTCCTTATATGGCAGTGCAAAGTAAGGTGTTTCAAAAAGGAAGGAGTTTTTGGAGGACTATTGTCTATATTTTGTTCATGTATCATACTCGTGTGGGAGTAGGATTTTTGTTTACGGGGAGTGTTTTAGTACGGACGTAGCTAACAAGTAATCCTAGGCATTACAGGTCTACAGACGTCTAGGAGAGTGTTATAATATTGACGTGGCTCACATGGACTCATAATTTGTGGAACTTAGGAGAGTCTCATGGTGATAATGTATCCCACGTGTAATCCCAAGCATTACAGGTCTACATATGTCTAGAGAGAGTGTTGTGGTACGAAGCGTAACCCGCATATACTTCGACAAATATACTATGAGTTCAGTTTTTGGTACCACATGTATACGGATTAGAGGTTAGCGTGCATTGCATAACATTCATCTGCATTAATGTGTGAATGTATGAATTAACATGTTGTTTTTCATATTGTTATGATGATTGTAAATGTTTGTGTTGTACTAACTTGTTATTTTTATACTGTTTATTCTTGTAAAATGTATTTTGTCCCCGATGTTTTTCATGTTTGGACGATGTACCTCTGTATAGGATACTCTTAAGATGATATTGAGGAGTAGTTGCTTCACGAGGAGATTCAGTGAAGATAGTGTAGAAGGCCATCTTAGTCTTAGTTATGTTTTGTTGCTAACATGTATTAGTCATCCAGTGATTGAGTCTAAATAAATTTATGATACAGTGCCATTGGGGATGAGATTGCAATATTAAAGAATATTATGTTTTTGCTTTTCAATATTTCGTCTTGAATCATGAACAGGTACCCAAGTATGGGAATTTTCTGATTTTGGTACGAGTTATGAATAATGATTTATACCATGTGTTTTTATTTACTATTGATTAAATAAATTATTTTGCAAATTATATTCATATTGAAATTCTGGTTGTCAGATCCCAGATGTCCTAAGAGATGTCGAGACACTGGATCTAACTTCAACACACAACAACAAGATATATGAACAAAATAAATAGTGCTGAATATAAAGAAAACACATATATGTTTACCTAGTTCGGAACAACTTTCCTACTCTAGGGGCTACCAAGCCATGGACGAAATTAACTAGATAGTATCAATTTGTAGACCTCATAGCAAACATCCCAGTTTACAGCCTACACACTTAATCACTACCCTTTGCCTAACTTCTACCTAAGACACTCAGTAATGGGAGCAACTCTAACACAAGTAGAGAAAAAAAGCAAAAGTCACTCTTCCAAAACACACAAAACTCAATGCTTGAAATCTTATGAGAATTGACACACAAATACTCAATGCTTAACAGTTTATGAGCATCTGACACACAAATGTTAAATGCTTAAAAGATTATAAACATCTGACACAAACCTTACAACCCAATAATAAGGATTCTAAAAACCCTAACAAAATACACACGTAAGTTCCACCTAATACGAGGTATACACCAGTCTATTTATAACATTATTTTGGACTGGGTTAGGCTTCAAAACCGCAACAATGAGGTTGCACAAAGTCTGCAAATTCTTCTCCAAGAAAATAGGTCTTCAATCATTAGTTTCCTAAAATGTCTCCATATTTAGAAACTATGCATATCTTCAAAAACCAACATAAAATATTCTGACTTGTCAAACTTGGACACCACATAAGCTAAATAAATATTCCCTGAATATTCAGTAGCTAACAAATCAACGGAGCCATAACTTCCAGCTACTGCAAATGCGATGTCTTATATCCTGGTTGGGACATCTTATACGACAAGTTGAAAACTGCAAGTTAGAACATCTTGCTCAACATGTTGATGCCAAGTTAGTTTTACCAAAATGTATACCAGTCATAATTTCATAGAAATAACACAGATTATAATAAAAAGAAAAATATATTTAAGTTTTAGGGTGTCACGCCTGCTGCATGGAAGAAGTCTCAAGAATCCCTTCAATAAACTGTGGAAGAAGTGTGTAGGGTCTGAGATAAAATTTTGGAGTAGACAGGAGAACTTTGTCCTAGCATTTCCATTACCGCTGACTAGGTGGATCCTTTAGTGGATGCTTCTGAAGAAGATACCAGAAGTGGTCCTGAAGCTTCAGAGCCGGGTGCCGATGTCTAAGAGTCTTTTTGTTCTTCTTTCTATGTTTTATTTTCTCCTGTATGATTTGGTCAGCCCTTCGTGCCTCGTTTTGTAAACAATATATTTATATATGTATTTCAGCTATTACATTTATCATGCTTGTGATTTTTGTTATAGTATTGCTCTTTATTCAAATCTTATTATTTCCCGACTAGGATCCAAGGAGAACTAGGAGTTGAAAAGAGCTATTGTTGTACCCAAAAATTTTCCCTCTCATTTTCACACAATACATACTCTTAGAGGTTCTCAATTGCTTAAAGGTTGACCAAGAATTGACCAGACAATTATCCTCATAAGGCCATGGACCCCTAACTAGGGTTTCAATTTTCATCAAGATGGATGAGATACAAAGGTCTCAAATTCTTTCCATGCTCCTAATATATCTTCAAGATCATCCATGCCAAGTTTCATGCCTTGCTCAATAAGGTTGCTCAGTCAATTGCTCAAGTATTGGAAAATCAACTATGTTAGATCAAAAGTCAACTGTGGCCCATGAACAGTCAAACTTCAAGATTTTTGGTCAACATCAAAATTTTTAAGTGATAACCATCATTTGATCAAGGTTTGATCATGATTCTTCAAGAAATGCTCCTAATTCATCAAAAGTCAAAAATGGCAAATTAGGGTTTCTATAGGAAAAGTCAACCAAACTTTGACCAAGCATAACTTTCTCATACTTTATCAGAAATTTTTCAACCAAAGCTCATTTTGAAGAGAATCCAATTCCCTACAACTTCTCATTAGCCCTCAAGTTCAAGAAATGTACCATTTGAAAGATACAAGTTCATACATTACAAGTCATTTTTAGAAAGTCAACAAAAGCCACTTTTTTCCAAGACCTTTAACATCACGGTAACATCTTCAATTGAAAAATTGATCAAAAGAGGGATTGAAGTAGACATGTTAGGATTTCCAAAAATTACAAGATCATCATCATAAGATAAAAATTGAACAAGTTATGGCTTACCCAAGTTGGGAAATGTTTGGAAATTTCAAGATTGGTGCATTGAGCAAATTTGAATTTTTGGGTCAATGGTCTAACTTTTTAAGATTCAAACATATTCCTAAGCTTATAAAGGACCTCTAATTTCACTCTTTCCATGATTTGCATTTTTTATCTATTTTATTCATATTTATTTTGTTTTTATTCACATAAATACAAGATAAATAACATAAAATAGCAAATGATTGGATCATGACGATTGGCCTTTTGTTTTGATTCACTTTCAGGCCCAAAAATTCATACAAAGAATGTACAGGTTCATTCATGCATGGAAAGGGAAAGATTTGCAAATATGGAAGCTTTTAAATTTGTTGGATCTTGACATGAAAATATGGCATTATGTCTTGATTCTTTCAATGTTATGTTGTCTCCTCCTTCCATACTATAAGAACAACGCATTGGGAAGCCAAAGGGACGAACACAACACCTAAGGAACCTCTTCCCATTTTTCATAAAAACTCAAAATTCTCAAACCCAAATTGCACATTCTAGCTGTTTTTAGTCCCAAGAAAAGGCTCAAAAACCTTCTTGGAAGCCCCC